CTTGTTTTGGGGACTGCCGGCACGGGGCAAGCATGAGCCACCACACCTTTTTTTTTTTTTTTTTTTTTACTGTGACCCATAGTATACTTTATTTCCTAGCATACACATATGTAAACTGAATAATGATTCTTATCCTTACTATATGATACATATTTTCTATTATTTCAATTAAATGTGTCACAGAAACTTTTGAAGAAAAATCCTAATTCATAATCTCAGAACCATGTCTTTCTTTCAAAGCACTCAGCATATTTTTTATGATTTTGGGGTTAATATCTACCTTCCTCATTACCTGTATTCTCTGTGAGGTTAGGGAGTATTTGGTACTTTGCTTAGCCTTAATAGGTACTTAATAAACATTTGGAATGAAACATAAATTGCTTGATAAGTACTTTTCCTTGCAGCACTTATCACAATTGTCTCTAATGACTCTAATTACCTGTTATAATCATTAAGCTTCTTCACTCTAAACTCAAACTCCAGGAGGTCAGGAATCCTGTCTGTTCACCCCTTCTTGTATCCCTAGCACCTAACCACATTACCTGGAAAATGGTAAATAAAAAATCATTTCCCAAAGAACACAATTTAAATTATGGTACCCAGACTGGCCAGCATGAATTAACAAAGCGGAGGAAAAGTGTCCACTGTTCTGCACATTTACGCACTCTAACACCACTTGCCTCAGAGACCTCAATCTTTACTTCGGAAACTAAGAAAAACCAAATTTATTCCAAAAGGCAAATGAACTCTGCATTGGAAACATGCTCTTCATGTGTGGCCAGATATGGCAAGCCAGGACTACTACGTAGATTCACAAAAAGATAAACAGCTTATCATATGGAAATAGGTTATAGGCTCTAAGCATTAAAAAAAAAAAAAAAATCTGGGACAAATAGGTGACAAAAAACAAATTTAGTTGATAATGTCTCATTTAATCACTATTCCATAAATCATTACTATTTCGGAGTGTTCCCATTCCCTTCACATGTTGCATATTATACTTATTTAAATAGAGTAAGATATACTTTGTACTTACCTTGTAATTACCAGGAGAGCGTCCCTGCAGACAAAGCATGTATAAGTGAATAGCTGCAACAGATGGTATAAGCCTAAGCTTCTTGTTACAAATGTCACATGGGCATAGGAGCATGAATGGATTTAGAGCGATTAAGTTGGTTGGCTTGTAGCAGCAAATTCTTTGACATCATAAACTCAGCCACTTGGGCTAAATACCCTTAGTATTTAAGAACTAATCTCTTTCTCTCATAGCTTTCTAATCTTCTCTGTATCTACTGAATTTATTAAAAACAAAATGCTTCCGTAGAGTTTTTCTTTTTAAAAGTATTCCAGGTAATAATTTAAAAATGACAGAATTAAACTACCACTATTTGTTTTTTTAAGAGATGAGGTTTCACCATGTTGGCCAGGAATGTCTCAACCTCCTGACCTGGTGATCCGCCCGTCTCAGCCTCCCAAAGTGCTGGGATTACAGGCGTGAGCCACCGCGCCCGGCCTGCAACTATCACGATTTTTGACTCCCCTCCCCATGAATGAATGAATCTAGATCTTATCAGTGGCCGCTAACATCACAAAAAGAGCCAAGACATTAGTGACTCCTGAATGGAAGTATACATCATGTCTGTGAAGTATTCCTTTCAGAAAATTCCAAACCAAACGTGATCAAGCCTCTCGATCAGCACTATCCAATAGAAATATGCACTCCACATATGTAATTGCACATCTCAACTCAAATCATATTTCAAGTGCTCAAAAGCTGAATGTGGCTACCATATTGGACAGTACAGTTCTGTTTATTCAATTACAGGATATAGAAGAACAGAGGGACATGGCATTACAAGGATGCAACCAACAGTGTGTGGATTGTATTTAGATCCTAATCTGAACGAAATACAAAACACATTTATGAGAGGGCAATTTGAACAATCACTGAGTATTTGTGATATTAAGGAGTTATTATTCATTTATTTAGATGTGATAATGGTCCTGTGGTTAGTTTTTTTTTTAAAATCACTTAAAGCTATAGACTGAAATATTTATGAAGTAATTTGATGCCTGAGGTTTGCTTCAAAATAACCCAGGGTGAGTGGAGGATGTATAGATGAAAAAAGATTGGCCATGAACTAAAAATGATTTGAAGCTGATGGGTATATGGGAAAAAAAAAATCATTGTACTATTTTCTGTACTTCTGAATGTATTTGAAATTTTCCAAGTTAAAAAAAAAAAGACAGACTGTGGTATAAGATTACAGTAACAGCGCTCATATTCTTGAAAGTATAATTCATTAGATACTACTATGAGTCTCTCTAAACCTGAAAGAACCGGTGGCTACTGCCACCACCACTAACACACAGGTAATAAACCAGGAAAATCTTACAAATAAAAACCAAACAACAAAGTAATGCTTTCTTTTCTGGTTTTATTTATTTTTGAGATGGAGTCTTGCTCTGTCGCCCAGGCTAGAGTGCAATAGCGTGATCTCAGCTCACTGTAACCTCCGCCTCCTGGCTTCAAGCTATTCTCCTGCTTCGGTCTCCCAAGTAGCTGGGATTACAGGTGCCCACCACCATGCCTGGCTAATTTTTGTTATTTTTAGTAGAGACGGGGTTTTGCCATGTTGGCGAGGCTGGTCTCGAACTCCTGACCTCAGGTGATCCTCCCACCTCAGCCTCCCAAAGGGCTGGGATTATAGGCATGAGCCACAGTACCCAGCCTGCTCACTCGCTTTATTAAAACCTTGCAAGGGCCAAAGGAAAAAGGGATTTTTCAGATTTCCTGCCCTCACAGCAGATGTCTTAGTGGCCAGGCTGTCCAGACACCAAACACACATAGCATAAATCGCCTATTTCTACTCTTCCTACATCTCATCAGAGAGCAAATGGTGGCGATTTCTAACAAAAAGGCACAGAGGATTGTGGGGTTCTATGAGACTAAGCATACCAGATTTTAAGATTTATAGGATTACACACACATTTTGGAGACAAGTGGCCCTCATTACCTAACCGGGAACTCTCTATAAGGTATAATGTATAAATTAATGCAAACTAAACAACAGAAAAGGGACAAAGGCATTAGTATTTGCATGCAAAACCTTCCAACTACAGTACGTAACATCATTTCCAAAACTGACGGTATCCTTGCCTATCCAGACTAGGATTTCGCAGATAAAGTTTGGCTTTTAAGATTCACATTCCCATAACAAATGCCTGCTTAACAAATTTGAATGAAAATATGTTTCATCAATGTGAAAGTGTGTGTTAAGTGATTTAGAAGGCAACAAATTGGCAGCAAAGGCACAAACTAAAAAATAAAAATGTTTTTTATTTAGTTTTTTTAAAATATAAATAACAAAACTGGCAAAAAACCAAAACAGAACCAAAAAAATGATGTTAATATGAGTGATCATCTCCAAGCATAACAACATTTATTAATGAATATAAAAAATAAGTTTTATTATTTTTGGTTTTCTCCCGGATTTGACTACATGGATAGTTTTAGAAGCTTGAGTTCCTAAGATAATTCCATAGCTACAGTGGCTCCTATAATGTGACGGAGTGAGGTTAAGGTCCCACTCCCATCAGGGAAACATCCTTGGTGATTCTGAACTAGACCCTTAGAAACATAAAAAAACAGGTGCTTTCATTAGGATCCTTCTAACATGGAAAAAATACAGCCGTCGTCCATTAAAACACAATCCAATTTGGGTACTCTTAAGGTTTTCTAAGTTCTCCACATGAAAATAAAACTAGGCCACCGTCTTTTCTGGCAACTCAGCCTACAGCCATTGCCATCTTCCTAACTAGCAGCCTCCCAAGCTGCACACAAACTGGGATTAACAAAACCGAAGGTAACATGTTTTTGACCTTTCCTCCTAGAAGTCAAAGGGCTCTTCAGGCAGAAAAGGTCAGGAGGTTTTGCATCAAGCTTGCCTTCACACGCACTATTAGTGGAAGGGTTGTGCAATCGACCCATCGCACACCTGTATTGAGTGTTTGAGTGTACTTACCCATCACCACACCACAAGGAAGTTAGAGTAAATTAACAAGTCACTCTAGACCAAGCCCCTCAAAACAGAGGCAAATCTGGTGAACCAAGGTCATTCACTGCGTGTGGTAATAACCTCAGTTCACCTAAGTCCTTTCCTGAAGAACCACATTAATCTCCTGATTCAAGAGGCACCTCTGGCCAGCACAGAGCACAGAAGGAAAAGCATAACTTCAGGGTAGGGGAACGCCACATGGAATTTAGAAGTTGCAGTTTAGTCTACAGCAAAAGATGGCAGCATCACTAATATTTAGAGCTGGAAAGAGCGTTGGCTGGACCACACTCCTGGAGCATCTTTACTAATGCAGCTTAACAGCAGTTGCCCAGATGTCGTTGCTGGGGAGCGGGGGAAGGACCCATCCTTGGGGAATGAAGTTGCCTTTGGGATGATCAGATGGCACCAGGTACTGATCCCAATCATGCCTTAATAGGAACATTATAGAACAACTGTTTATTTCTGTTTTATTTCAGATAAGATGTTCAGCAACTGAATATTCTATTTCTAAGACTTAGCTTTCAAATGACTGATATACCAACTTACTACAGAGCTTGATTTCTAGGCATCAAGAAAATGGCTATATTTCTTAAATGTACACATAAAAGGAAGAAAAAATCTGAAGAACTTATAACCTTATGGATAACCAAATAACAAAGTCAATCCTCATTATTTGCAGACTGGGTATTTGCGTATGTGCTTACTAACTAAAATTTATTTTGTAACCCCCAAATCAATCACTTGTGGCCCTTTCATGGATACTAGTAGACACATACAGTGGCAAAAAAAATCTGAGTCATGAAAATGCAGTTACCAGCTGAGGTCAAAGAAGGCAATAATTACTCTGCCTTTTTTTCAGCTCCTATTAATATAAACGTGTTCTTTTCTCTATTTAGTGCCACATTTTCCACAATTTTGCACTTTTTACTGACGACTTTGCTGTTTAAAATGGCTCTAAGTGTAGTGTTCCTAAGTGCAAGAAGACTGTGATATGCTTTGTGAAGAAAATGTGTTAGGTAAGCTTCATTTAGGCATGAGGTATAGTACAATTAGCTGTGAGTTCAATGTTAGTCAATCAACAACATGTATTAAATAAGGTGTCTTTAACAGAAACACACATACAACAAAGTGTTGACAAAAACATTGTGACCAGAGGCTCACAGGAATCTACCTGTGTTTCCTTTAGGAGTGATGTTCAGTGTTCTGAAATCAGTGTTTGCAGTGAATTTAGAGAATATAGCTGTCATGAATAATGAGAATTGGCTGTACTTACCTTTAAAGCTAAAATTGTACATTAGCAAAAAATAAACTTTTCCAGAATATAAACTTGATATGCTAAAGAGCATTCTTGCATAAGAATCACAAACAGCTGAGGTTTTGGAAGGGACATTAGAGATCATTTAGTTCAGTGATTTTCTAACCACACTTTGAAGACCCCTATGCCCCAAGCAGATGTTTGGGGAAATCTAGAAACAACAAATTTCTTCTAGGCAACAACAGATTGATACTGCCTCAAAAATCCATTCATTCCATTTATCTCACACATTGTTTCCTCAAAAGACTACGTTTTGGAAGTGTGCTGCTGCTCAAGTTTGAAGGCCACAGTCTAGTCCACTGTCTTCATATTACAGGTGAGGAAAGACAGACCCAGAGAGCTGAAAACTTTGCCCAGCTCCTTAAGAACTGCAGATTCAGATGAGCCTCCTTGTTCCCAAATTTCTGGGCTTTGACCTTTACGTAAGCTCAGAAGTCAGCATGGGTCTTAAACCATCTCCACAGGCAAGTACACAGTGGAGGGTTTCTTCTTCCTGGGTCTGGTTAGCACCAGAAGAGAATTCGGAAAAGGAAACCAATGCTTTAAATCAATATAACAGCTATAACATCTATAACATGGGATAATACAAAGGGCAAGTCACAACCTGAGTTTGTTTCTTCACCTATAAAAATAGGGACTTCAACTTCTCAAGGATTCATGAGTTCTAAACAAGATGTATGCAGCGTCCTTGAAACATGGAAACATTACAAACCCATAATGTTTTTTTAAGTTTCATCAGGAGCTTAAAAAAAAAAAAAAAAAAGACAGTAATAGACCCCAACAATGTAAGCACTTTATCAAGTGCTTCCTGCTACCTAAGGGAAAGACAACACGGAGAGTCTGCCCCTCTGACCTGATCTGGATGAGCGCTGGCAGGGAGTGCTCAGCTTGGAGGTAATACTGTCGGAAAGGCTCCAAGAGATGAGCAAGTGGGAACTCGTCTGAAAGAGAAAAGCACAAAACCATGTTATCATGCTTGATATCCACAGTGTATTTTTCAAGGCAAGGTGACTGAAACTATGATTATGACAGTATGAGCAAATGGGTTTCATCTGTATCCATGAGTCCTGTGATACAGAACTGCAAATCTGGAAGGTGTCATTTGTTGCCTACCTCTTAGCTTAAGTTGAGTTCACCCATGATGAGAAGAGCTATCAATCTAGCATGTTCATTTTCTCCACTGGTTATAGACCAACATACCTGGATCCCCAAACAACTTGGACTCAATTTCACGTTTCTGAAGTAAAATTTTCTCTTTTTCTTTTCTTTGTTTTTTTTCTAATTCTCTTTTCCTCTCTTCCTCTTGTTCTCCTTCCAGCATAACCCTGAGGGCTCTCTCTTCAGCTTCATACAGTTCAGAGCGCTTTTTAATGAGTTTTCTCAGTCGCTGAAGATGATGCTCAAAAGTCTCATCTGCTGAGGCTGGAGGACAGACCCCTGGGCGGAAAGAACGAAATGGCATTTTATTTATTTATTTTTAAGACAAGACCTCACTCTATCACCCAGGCTGGAGTACAGTAGTACAATCACAGCTCACTGCAACTTCAAACTCCTGGGCTCAAGTGATCTCCCGCCTTGGCTTCTGAGTAGCTAGGACCGCAGGTGTGCACCACCATGCCTGGCTTGGAGACAGGGTCTCACTCTGTTGCCCAGGATGGCGTGCGGTAGCATGCATGACTCACTGCAGCCTTGACCTACTGGGCCCAAGATATCCTCCCACCTCAGTCTCCCAAGTAGCTGGGACCACAGGTGTGTGCCACCTCATCTGGCCAATTTTTTTTTATTTTTGTAGAAATAGGGTCTCCCTATATTTCTCAGGCTGGTCTTGAACTCGTGATCAAGGAATCCTCCTGCCTTGGCCTCCCAAAGGGCTAGGATTACAGGCCTGTAATCCTGTGCCTGACCCTACCTATGCCTGACCTACGTGGCTAATTTTTACTGTGCCTGACCCTACCTGGCTAATTTTTAAATTTTTTGTATGGGGTCTTGCTATGTTGTCCAGGCTAATCTCCAACTCTTGGCCTCAAGCAATCCTATCACCTTGGCCTCCCATCCAGCCCAAAAGGCCTTTTACACACGTTTTCTTCAATAATTTGTGTTCTAATGAACATGTTCAAAGTCCTATCTATTGTATGTATTGGTTGGAATTTGGAAATTTTATCCAAACTTTAAGGCTCAATTTGATGTTTCTGAGTATTCAATTACTCTGACCCTCCCCTTCATTTCTCAACTCCTCCCTCTGGATCACAACACTTAACCTCTGACTTCATTTATTTCTAATGGTTTTGATCCTTCACTTGAAAGAGTGAGCTCACTAAAGGGAGGAACTTGTCTTAACTTCATTGTGAAATTTCCTCAGCATCAACTCCCAGACCTAAGTAATAAACAATTCTCCCTCTGATGGAATGTGAATTTTGGGAGTGCACACTTGGATGGTGGGGAAGATACACTTAAACCAACCACACTAACCTTGCAGTCTGCTGTTTTGGTTTGCCCGCATCTAGCACTGAAAGCCCCATGTCCCAGTAAAAGCAGAATGGTTATCATCCTGATTTAACTATGAGATCAGCTAACAGTACAGCCAACATATCTAAAGTCACAGCTGGCAAAAGACTGGTTATTAGGTGATATCAAATAATTATTACTAATTTTCTTGGTGTGACAATGGTATCATAGTTGATAATGAGTGTGTATTCTATTTTTGTGCATGTGTGAAATTTTTCATAAAGTTTCATGAAAAAAAAGATTTAATGAATACTTGAGTGGACTGCAATTGTGCACTCACTACCACAACGGCCCTGCAATACAAAAGCTGCTAAATGAATCAATGTAGAGTGATGTGCATATGATCTATCCTGTCAGTCCTTGAAAATTTTAAAGGAAAACATATTACCCAAGCATTTTAGCAATACCATGTACAGGGCCAGGCATGGTAGCTCACGCCTGTAAACCTAACACTTTGGGAGGCAGAAGCAGGCGTACTGCCTGAGCTCAGGAGTTCAAGACCATCCTGGCCAGCATGGTAAAACCCCGTATCCACTAAAAATACAAAAATTTACCAGGCATGGTGGCGTGTGCCTGTAGTCCCAGCTACCTGGGAGGCTTAGGCAAGAGAATCACTTGAACTGAGAAGGTTCAGGCTGCAGTGAGCCAAGATCATGCCACTGGACTCTGGCTTGGGCAACAGAGCGAGACTCAGTCTCCAAAGAAATAAAAAGAAAGAATGCCAGATTCAAGAAACAAAGAAAAAAAATCCTAATCTCATTACCATAATCAATCACTTTATACTTTCCCAGGTTCTCTTCAGGTCTTTTTGTCCACGTGTTAGCAACTTCATGCAGTTCAACGTTATATGTATGTAATTTCCACTTCTCCCTGTTGACTTTTACATTCTTCTCCAATCTTCATAGTTATTTAATGGCTGTATCCTATTTCATCAAATCAATGCACCAGAATATACTTTACAAGTTCCCTACCCCTGGACATTTAAGCTCTTCCAAATGTCTTGTTATTGTACAGTGATACAATGAACATTCTTGGGCATGTTACTTTTTTCCTTCCTGTGGATTTCAAATTCTCAAGAGTGAAAATCCTGGTGAATACTTTCAAGACTAACAAGATGTTTTATAAACTGCTTCCTAAAAAAACTATACATTTGCTCAGTTACCTAACACTTGACACAGACAAGGTAATGAATAGATACTTCTTCAATGAATGAATGATTTTCAACAGGGTTTGTTTGTTGTTCATTTTGAGATGGAGTCTCGCTCTGTTGCCAGGCTGGATTGCAGTGGCACCTTGGCTCACTGCAACCTCCGACTCCATGGTTCAAGCGACTCCCCTGCCTCAGCCTCTCAGGTAGCTAGGATTACAGGCACGCACCACCATGCCCAGCTAATTTTTGTATTTTTAGTAGAGACAGGGTTTCACTATGTTGGCCAGGATGGTCTCGATCTCCTGACATTGTGATCTGCCCACATCGGCTTCCCAAAGGGCCGGGATTACAGGAGTGAGCCACCATGCCCGGCCCTTCAATAGGGTTTTAACAATTTATACTGCAACCTGCAATATATAATAGTGCCAGCTTTGAGCACTACATTTTTGGTTTGGGCTGATAAATGGCATAAAACAATGGTTTCTCAAAGTGAGCAGTTGCTTCTTGTAAGTTGTGATTTAGAGGTAGGATTCTTTCCTCCTTCAACCACTACAGCTAAGTGGTTGTGGAACTCACTCTCAAGGCTAACACTTCTCCAGATGATTCTCTCATAACTGCTTTGCTTCAACCGGTTTCCATTCACTCATTCTCAAGTACAGAAACTCTACAACTCAAAAATTCATCTTCTACTAAATTGCCAGGCCAATATTTTTCAAGTATACACAAAATTCTTATACACTGACAAATTTAAGCTGTCACTCTGTTTTGTAATAATTCAATGGTTTTGTTTCATTTCTTTACAGGCAGTAAATATTTTAGATTTTATAAGCCACACAGTCGCTGTTGCAACTAAAATCTGTGTATGGCGAAAATACACAGACACTCCATCATCCTACAATAGCCCAAAGACCCCATGAAGAGATGTGGACTGCTCCCATCTTGGGCTTCTGGACCTGGGCCACCTACCCACATCTCTCTCAGCCCCTCATTGTTCACTCCCTGGTCAACATAACATATTCCCTCAGAAATGGCAGTCCTGGGCCAGGCATGGTGGCTCATGTTTGTAATCCCAGCACTTTGGGAGGCTGAGGTGGGCGGATCACCTGAGGTCAGGAGTTTGAGACCAGCCTGACAAACATGGTGAAACCTCATCTCTACTGAAAACAAAACAAAACAAAACAAAACAAAACAAAAATTAGCCAGGCATGGTGGTGCATGCCTGTAATCCCAGCTACCCTGGAGACTGAGGCAGGAGAATCGCTTGAACCCAGGAGGGCGGAGGCTGCAGTGAGCCGAGATTGCACCACTGCACTCCAACCTGGACAACAAGAGTGAAACTCCATCTCAAAAAAAAAAAGGAAACGACACTTCTCACCCAGTCTTCCTGTTGACCCCATGCTGGCACCATGTAGTTTCCCTCCACATCTACCACTCACTCCCCTAGTCCTGCGGCTCCTAGACACACAATGCCTTTGCCTCTATTCCCCTTTAGCCACATGCTTGCAGTCTTGTTCAGTCTTTGGACCTTGGCATTAGCAGAAAAACTTTCTGCCTCTTAAGTCTTAAACTTAATTATTCTCTTCTAGGACTACAACTTTCTCCCTTATAGTACTCTTAGTTCCTTCTCCCCAGAGACTCATTCGGTAGCTTCATCAAAATCTTCAGACCTGATGTAAAAGATTCTATCCTCCTGCCACTCCTTCACCACAAAACTCACGGTCATCCCACAAAGCAAAACCCCAACAACCCCATGCTCTGTGCTTACTTGCCAGCTAGAGTATTCCTGGAAGAGGTCATCTGATTGTGTGATCTGTTGCCAATATACACCAGCTGGACACATAGCTCTCCTTAAGCCCCACTTCTCTACTGACACTCAGCAAACCATTTACTGTTTCCCAGAGAAAACAAGCCAGCAGGCAAGAAATCCCTCATATCTGTCCCCACTTGCATTCATCTGCATCCCTTCTTCACCTCCTTCATTTTCCTGCTTGTGTAAGATGGGTCCTTCTCCACTTAAGTTAATCCCTCTACCTGGGATCTGAATCGACCTACCTTCCATGGGATCTTGAGCCATCGACTATTCTTCCTGCTTCTCTTTGACCCTTTCCCTTCTACTCACTCCTTCTCTCAGCAATTTTAAACATGCTTACGTTTTCTCCATGACCCAAAGGCACACACACCCCTCACCATCACCACGATGACACACATTGCCAGGTACTGATCTTGCTCTCTCCTTTTCTTCACAAGCAATCTTTTAATAAGTTGAATTTTCTGTTTGCTTTTCTTATCTCCTATTCATTCTCTAACCTATTGTAGTCTGGCTTCTACCCCTACCAATCCACTGAAATGCCTCTAGCATAGGTCACTAATGACCGGTTGGATACTAATTCCCATGGATGTTTCTTATTTCTTGATAATAAAAATAATAATAACATAATACATGTATATAGCATTTACTGTGTGCCAGGTCTGTTTTAAGTATTTTACACAAATTTATTAATCTTCACAACACCCCATGGGTAGGTACTATCATTACTCCCTCTTTGCATATGAGGAAATCAAGGTTCAGAGAAGCTTAAGGAACCTGTCCAAGTGTATTAGTCCATTCTCATGCTGCCAATAAAGATATATCTGAGACTGGGTAATTTATAAAAGGAAGAGGTTTAATTGACTTACAGCTCCACATGGCTGGGGAAGCTTCACTATCATGACAGAAGGTGAAGAAGGAACAGTCACATCTCACATGGCAACAGGCAAAGAGAGTGCGTACAAGGGAACTCCCCTATATAAGTCTATTAGATCTTGTGAGACTTACTCATGATCACAAGAACATCATGTGAAAGACCTGTCCCCATGATTCAATTACCTCCCACCAGGTCTCTCCAAGACATACGAGAATTACAGGAGCTACAATTCAAGATGAGATTTGGGTGGGGACACAGCCAAACCATATCACCAAGATTACACAATCTCTCTAAGCACTTGCCACTTTCTAGAAGGAACAGGGAGTCTACCTTTCCCTCCCATCTCTCTGACCTCTCTTAAGTCTCTTTTTTGCTCTTTTCATTTTCTATCTTGATTTTGGCATTCCTTAGGATTTCGGTTTTTGGCCCTCACCTCATACTATACAATCTCCTTACGGTCATTCTGACTCATGGCTACATGCTAATGAACTCTTGTCCAGGATGTACGACACACCTCAAACTCAACAGGTCCCCAGCTGAATTTCTCAACCCAAACCTGTTCTTCCTCCTTTGTTTTCCTTCTCAGTTAGAATGGTATCCACCAGGCACTGTGGCTCACACCTATAATCCTAGAACTTTGGGAGGGGCCAAGGTGGGAGAATCACTTGAGCCCAGGAGTTCCAGACCAGCTTGGGCAACATGGCAAAACCCCATCTACACAAAAAATTCAAAAATTAGCCAAGTGTGGTTGTATGCACTTGTAGTCCCCGGTACTCAGGAAGCTTAGGTGGGAGGATTGCTTGTGTCTGGGAGTATGAGGCTGCAGTGACCTATGATCGCACCACTGCACTTCAGCCTGGGGACATTGCAAGACCCTACCTTTAAAAAAAAAAATGAAAAAAAAAGCTATCTTCACTTATTCAACAGATGAGGCTAGAACTGGGAAGTCATTTCATTTTCTTCCCTTTAGTTCCTGTACTCTGAGTTCCCTAAGTCATTTATTTACATGTACATGGGTCTATACACATACACTTTTATTCATTATCTCTCAATTCTCTGACTTCTCTCCTACACACTGACTCTCAGCTCACGCTTTCATACTATCTGTGCCCAATAGCCTTACCAGTCTCTATGCCCTTCTCTCTCTCTCCTGGATGCTCCAAAACTTTCTCTGCTCTACTGGCACTGATCTTTGCCATCATTTAATTTAAAAACTTTCAGTGGTTCCCCACAGCTTTAAGTGAGCACTCTAGCGTGGCCCATATGACCATGCTACATGGTCTTCTTTGCAACATGGTCCTGCTTAAACTATTCAGCCTCATCATTCAGCACTCACTTGGAGGTGCACACATCTTGAAGAGGGAGTTAGCTGCTCATTTTAAGTACACAGGCAACCAGCTGCTACTTACCAAATCATTTTACAATTCAAGTCTGTTAATACTACAAAGTTTGTTTATTTCTATAGATCATGATTTTCCTAAAATTTCCTCCTCCTTATGAACCGAAGTGAGGAAGGTTAATATTGGGAAATGCTGGTGAATTAGCCTGGTAGAAGTTTACTGAGTACTTACCTCACGGAGAATACGAGGTGGAGGAATATTAAATAATAGCTCTCAGGTTTTGCTTTCTAGTGAAAAAGAGAGACGGGTAGACACAGCAGATGCTAACTTCCCTCTGATTTATAAGTGCCCTGAGATTACCAGAATGGAGACATCTGTTTCTGAGGTCTGACTGTGAATTAGCCACTCTGAAGGCTGGTATGCAGAATCCAATCACTTAGCTAGCAGATGAGCCTGGCTGAATAGAAAATGGTCCTATTCCAACACAACTTTCTTAAGAGTCTAAAAGAATCCTTGTTCTTCCTCCTTTGTTTTACTTCTTAGTTAGAATGCTATATTTTAAACAACACAGGGGAAATCATTTGCTAGAGTGGCATTTGCTAATTTGTACACTCTCAAATATGTCTGGTGAATACCAAAAGCCTACAGTCTACTAAATAAATCAGCATGTGGTCCAAAGCAGGTGCAAGTGAGAAGCAACAGGAGGTTATCTCAGCCCAGATCAGGGAAGGATGAAAGATGTTGCATATGTATTTGGTTTTAAATACTGAGATCCTAAAATGGTGAAGATGGGACTGAGGGCCCTCCAGATCAATAGAATAACAACAGCTAAGATCCAGACAGGCAAATGGAAAACACAACTGCGTAACTTCTAGAAAGCCAGCATGGATGGAACAAATTTCTGTGGAGAAGCTTGAACTGTCTAGCTACGGTGTCTGGTGCCTCCTCCAGAAGCAAGAAGAGACTGGTGACATGCAGGAAAGATGGGGAAATCCACACAGTCTGCAATCCCTGCCCTGTCCTACCATTCATACCTCCTCAAATAGAAATAATTCAGGTTTGAAATATACCTGAAAAAGCATGCCAAGTTTTCAACACTTTCTGGAGCACCAAGTAAGGGTGAAAAGCTTTCACCTTGGCACAAGGAAAGTTGACTAGCCAGACAAGCCCACTCAGAAGAGTGTGGGCAGAAATGCCTAGAGTAGAAATCATGAGTCAACGTGAAGACAGTGCAAAGGGTTCCCACACCTGCCTCTCTTTTCAATCTGGGCTACCAAAGGCTACACATCTTCTGAGGCTTCCTGCTTCAGAAATGCTGACCTACTGCTGACAACCCCAGTCACCCTACAAGGTGAAAATCACGAAGTTTCAAGTATTCTTCCCTCAATAGTATTTGGGGTGGGAGGCAGTAGAGTAAAGAAGGGGAACGGAACAAGGGAAGAAATGAAAAGCCACAGTTACCTTTCCTTGCTGCAGCCTCTTTCCTCAGTTTCCTCAACTTCTCCAAAGCCCGAAGAATGTCCACCATTCTTTTAGTATCTGCTTGTTTTTTCCTCACTTCAGATAGTACGCCATCAGCGGCTGCTTTGAGTTCCTGCTCCTGGAGGAGAAACAAAGCCCATGAGACCTTGTAATAGGAACAAACTTACAGCAGAGAATAGCTCCCCAGTGGTTAGATTTCAAAGGATCAGACAGACTCCAGGTTAAGAGAGACTCTATCGAATCTACATCCCAACTTCCTAGGCCTTACACAACTCCCCTCTAGCTAAGAGGTTACGCCCCTCCACCGATGGTACAACCTTCATCTTAAAGGAGAACCTCTCCTCTCTGTACCTTCTACATAGCACTGGTTTTGTTTCTTCCTTAGTGTTTCTCAAAGTGTAGCGCAGGGAGCATATGTCCAACTTATCTTGCTAAGCTGAGACACTTGTTGGAAATGCAGACTCCTAGACCTGAAAATTCAGATTCCCAGGGAGGATAAAGAATGTGGTTAGAGGCCGGGCGCGGTGGCTCACGCCTGTAATCCCAGCACTTTGGGAGGCCGAGGCGGGTGGATCACGAGGTCAAGAGATCGAGACCATCCTGGTCAACATGGTGAAACCCCGTCTCTACTAAAAA